GGTAGCATATGGGCTTAAGGCTAGGGTTCGGTGTAGAGTTGGGTCCAGTGAAGAGAATTCAGGTAGTTTAGGATGTTGACCGTGATGCGATTGTCACAGGGGCATGTGTTGTAGACCCATAGTACCTACTGCATCATAATCAATGACAACTTATAACTACAAACAGATATTTACCAACAATTTTTGTTGTTGTTGTTTGATACTGTATTTGGGGATTGGATGTGATTTATTTCCTATATGTATGTGGCAACATGATTACAGTAGGTCAAAGTGAAAACAGTTGTGACGTTATGTGACTTTAAACTAAATCTATTTGTCAAATCAATAGTACCTATAATAGAATAAGATACTCCAAGAATATTAATTGAATAGCGTATGTGGTTGGATATTACTTGGATCTGTACTTTATTGATGAATATGTGTCAATAAGTGCTTCATATGATTATTAAATGGGTCTGGAAATATATCTGACCATTTGTGTGTATATATACCCGGAAGAAGGAAATATATTAATCCTCAACCCTAGATGGAATACACAGGAGGCATGTGTTATTGCCCATATATACTTGACCATATATATATATATATATATATATGGGCAAGTCCAAGGTCCTGACCACATCAAAGAGAGCTTGGATCAAACCAAATATGATGTTGAATGATTGATGTCAATATGTCCATAATACTATTATACTTGGTTATGCTATGAGGATGATGTTGACCTGTTCTGGTGTATTTCTGTACTATTTCCAGGGTGCGGCTCAGTAAAAGGAGGGTCAAAGATGCCCCCTCAAGCAACTCGCTCCTGGTGGTCAAACACAGAGAACTGTTTGACCAAGAGTCGGCTATGCAGGTCAGTTTCTTTATCGTTATGCTTATGAGGGAAATGGAGATAATGTTGAGCTTGTTTGAGTGACAGGAGCCTGTCCCCAAGACCCTTACTATGCCAAGACAATGAGATCATGCTTTTGAATGAATTTTTCTGTGAATTTGTGTTATTTACACTTTGTTCCAAATTTACAGAGTAAAGCTGATCTTGGATTTCAAGATATTTGATTTAGGAAAATAGTGTAGCCAGAATTGGGTAAAGAGAAGAATGTCATACATTATACATGGCGTCATATTATCTTATTTGTAAAGTTATTCTGATTTTGCCCAAAAGAAGGTTTCCAATATATGTTTGACAAATTTTTAATCCGATTTTGTATAAATGCACCATTTTCAGACTTTTTAACAAGTACATTATCTTTACCTTCACTACTTGGATGCATGTCTTCTACTCTGTGAAAGCTCAATCACACAAAAGTGGTAACAATATTCACTGTTGTGTGGGTAGGTAATCATGTCTGAGGGTTTTGTCATCAATGAACTTTATTCTAATTTGATCTTTTTCTTATATCAGGATATGCGCATGAACCAGCTGGAGAACGTTGTCCAAGAAGAAGAGGAAGAAGAGGAGGAGGAGGTCGAGATGGAGGTAACGGAAGGAGGAGAAGGAGAAGAGCAGGAGGAAGGAGAAGAAGGAGCAGAAGGAGTAGAAGGAGAAAGTCAAGAGGAGGAAGAGGATGGAGAAGAAAAGGAAACTGAAACAGAACAACAAGATTCAGGTTAGTTTTATGTAACCGTTTAAGTTGACCACCTGAAAACATTGTAACTATGTAAAAAAAAAAAAAGGGGGGGGGGGGTTATACCATTTGCTTTAAATTTTAATTCATCAAGTACTCAGCTATTCTCATTCCACTTTGCCTGTACCCAGTCTATGTAGTATCCAGTTGGTCTGGTATAATTTTGCCTTCAGTAGTCCAACTTCCATTTTAATAGTCTAATGATTATAGATGACCAATTAGGCTCTTGTCATTTTGTATTCTGTATACTTTGGTCTAAAATTCCAGGTCCTGTAGAGGAAAAATATGTTTATTAGATCAAGTTTAAATGAGAATGAAAGGGGCATATAAGATAAATTTGGAATTGAATGGCTATTAGTCCATATGGACAAAGCAAAACTGATGTGGACAAAGCCAAACATTAGACCATATGGAAAGTAGATGTAATTTAGTGTAGATGGAGTACAATAAGATAGATTGGGTGTTTGGAAAATTAGAATTGGACCAAATGGCAATTTACCACTTGCACAGAAAAATGAAGTACATTAAATATACTGTTTTGGACAGTGTTGAGTAAATTTTCTAATTATGGCACTTTTGGTTCCCATTCTTTTTTTTGTATCAGATGCTGAACAAGTGGAGGAAGCTGGCAGTGGAGAGGAAGAAGAGCAAGAGGCAGAGGAGGAAGGAGAGGAGATGGTGGAAGTAGAGGAAGAAGAAGGAGAAGAACAGATGGCCAGCGGGAGCGAACAAGAGGCAGCTAGCGGAGAGGAGGAGGAGGAGGAAGAGCAGGTGGAGAGAGAAGAAGGAGAGGAAGAGGAAGAAGAGGAGGAGGAAGATGAGGATAGAGGGAAGAGGGAAGTTCGAGATGAGGAAGAGATCTTTGGTGATAGTGATAGTGAGGAAGAACAGGCAGGAGAAGAGGAGGAAGAAGAAGAACAGCAGCAAGAGAGTGAGGTAGAGTCACCGGTAGCGTCGCCGGTAGCCAGTGACAGCGATTAAAACCCCAAAATCACTCTTAAAAACTCTTCAGTCATGCCATCCCAGCAGAGAAAATTTTCTGTTAACGCTCTCACAAAATTAATTGCGTACAATAATTGTATCCATTGACCATAGTCGCATTTCTAGTTTTCTGAGAGACACGCCTAATTACATTGGGAAAAATATGTCCAAACAATAATATAATTTGTAAAATTTGGGTCTCTAATTCAAGCCTCGTAGTCTATTCAGGTAATGCTGCAGAAGAGCTTGTAATGTTTCTAATAGCTGCGTGCAGTGTCAGTGTTTAAAAGGAAACCATCACGTGTTGCAAATTGTAGAGTAAGTGCCCTGTGATATAATGCCCCAATCTTCAGTATTGAAATTTTATTCATTGCCAAGAGAGGAGAGTCGTTCATCCCTTTTATCTCATTTATCTCATTTTCAAAACATATTTACATCGCCATTTCAGAGCTGAGAACCATTTTTTGTTGTGCCAGTACACACCAGTGAAAATGATAACTGAAGTTGATTAGACTTCATATTTAGGTCAAAGGTCATCGAGGTAAATGTAAAGACTTGCAGCATTACGATACATATAAAAAATAGTTTCATTAAAAGAAACCTTTGTACTTGGTTGTAATATTGTAGAAAGATAACATTTACGAGACTTATTTTATCCCTAAGGTCATGGTCATGTCTTTGAACCTGTTGCCTTTCAATATCTCTGGAAGTGCGAAAATGTACTACAGTATTGTACAAACTTATGTACACTATGATGTGATGATGAAATTATGTTTTAGGTTTGTGATATTCAAAATTTGGAATTGCTCATTGTGATTAATGGTATGATGTGATAATCATGATCATTCTGATGTAGTGAGACAATTTTACATCTAAGCAACAGTTAAAACTGGATAGTCAAAACATATACTCCAAATGTACAGTGTGAAAACAGATAAATACAGTTATGTATGATTCAGGTTTTAATATCGTAGGATTGAATGGTCAGAGTGTGAAGGTTTCTATTGGTCATCAAGATAGTCATTGGCAGTGAAGTGTATGATGGATCCCTCTAGTTTTTTATTTGATTTTCTTTGTTCCTTGTAATTTCCTGTTCTGAAAGAAGACCGTTGAGAATTCATTTATCATACAGTACTGTTAAAGAGTCAAGGCTATGATGCTATGAAATTAGAAAATGCCCATGCCATTAATTCGGGAAAAAATTAACAGAGTTGAACATAGAATATTCCTTCCTTTAGCTTCATTATCTTTGCACAAATCTGTATTTTACTTTAATGCAACGTATTTGAAATAGCAATGAGTGCCAATTTGTCAAATGTATTACTACCCACTAGTCCTTTTTTATAACTTTTCCATTGCTGAATTATCCACATTGGTCATAGGTTGCACTCCAGACCTTCCTTCTGAAAACTTCACTGTTCCTTGTACATCATTTTAAGTTGCATTCTAGTAAAAGGTGTATAATACATGTACATGTATTACACATTTTGTTTGCTGTTGGGACCAGATTGTGCCCCCTGGGACGAAATCAAGCTGTGGGGAAGAGAATATTGTCAGCTGTAGGTTTATAATGTTTGTAAATATTGTAAATATGCAATTAAAATCATGTTACATTTGTAAATTATACATTTGTGTACGATTGTGTCATTTCTTTTTGAAGATTTCTGTATCTCCTTTAATACTGTAGGTTCACTGGCAAATGCATCTCACAATTCTAGTTGTGAAAGTACATGAGGTCAAATGAGGGGAAGGTATATTTGGAAGTAAAGGGCAAATCTGGCCCATTTGTCAAGTTGAATTGAATAAATAGAGAAAAATGAAAACAAACAAAACTGAAAATTTCATGAAAATTAAACAAAAAATAAGAAAGTTATGGAATTCTGAAGTTTGCATAAATTCATGAAATGCATTGACTGGATGCTAATTAGCAATTTTGATGATGTCATTCCCCATATATTTTGAAATATTTGTTAAATTTATGTACAAAACAGATGAAGAAATGGGCCAGACTTGCCCCATTTTAAGGGGTCTAGAGACGAAGAGGGATGGGTTGGGAAGGGGCCAGCTATAGGCCCAAAATCAAGTTTGGTTCCAAAATTTCTTGGCTAGCAGTAGTCAAGAGAGAGAGAGATAGAAAGAGAGAGATAATTTTGTTTGGGGGCGGGGGTTGTAATGCAAGTCATAATTCAGTACAACTGAAAAAAACTGAAAAATCTATATTCAGGGGATAATCAACCCCCCCCCCCCCCCCCCCCATTTCCATATACAGTGCAGTGGCGAGGGTCAGTAGAGTATTACTACACAATAAAGTCCATTTATCCATGGAGGATGAAGGATTCATAATTCATATTCATTTTGTGATGTGAGTTGTCGCCCTCTTGTGTTAAGGATTTCACATTCCGATGTTAAATGGAGGTTTGATAAAAATTCGCATTTGTGACTCAGCTCACACTGATGAACTTGCAAGAAGAAGGTGAGTCTTATTATATATACATTTAAGTTATAGAACGAATGAATATGTAACTCCGTTTTTTCAATACCGTTCGTATTAAGTTATTTGTCATTTGCTTGGCAGAATAACGATGAAGTAATGAGTGATTGCCAGACGAGTGCGAGAAACTAGGGGACTTGGTTACAGTGGACGCTTTATCGCAGCGGGTCAGCTTCGGCTTAGCAGTGTCCTGGGCAACCGTACCGAGCCCGCCGTGTCGGGGGCTTCAGATCTGCGGGGTGTGCCGTTGCATTGTGACTTGTCTTGTGTAAATAGATCTAATGAGTTGTTTTGCAATTAAATGTAGATCTAGATCCATTTGCAAATGAATCTCTTAGTTACATCATTCGATTTATATGATGGACAAGGGTCAAAGTCAAAGTGAAAAACATTAAACAGGGCTTGCACAAGAAGTTAAAAGATTTTTTTTTTTTCAGAACGAGAATCTGACAAACAAACTTACAAAGGCAAGCCAAGTCAAACCAGGGACCAATGTTTGCAAATAATTTAAAGATTTTATTTTTAGAATAAGAATCCGACAAAACCAAGCACAAGGCAATGACAATGGCAAAGTCAAGCCCAAAACAAGGGAAACAAGATGCAAATTTACACAAAATGCCAGACAAAATTTACATAAAAAAACAAATGAAACTCCATTCAATCTTGCTATTTGGATTGCATCTTAAAAGCATCTCCTGAAGTATAACATATTTGTTTTAATTCCTTTTTTATGGTTTCATGTGAAAATGTAGGTCAGATTTTCTTGCATGAATGAATGTATTTGAGATGTACTAATAGATGTACTATCTACATCATACATGCATGGCAAATTAAGTTTTTATTTCTTGATTTACATCATCCGTTTTGTATAACCATCTCCCTTGTTTTTTCTGATTCATTTACACAGGTCAGTGTATGTGGAAAAGGTTTTCCATGTATACAAAGAGATTACTGACTTGAAAAGCACATTTCCATGATATTGTAGCCCCTGGAGCATTGATACCTTGATACCTTGAAGAGATCATGAGGTAGATAAACTTCTCAAGGCTTCAGAGAGCAGAGAAATCACACCATGGGTCAAGAAGTGCCACTCCTCAACGAATATAAGCGGGATTTCTTCTGGAAGAGGTTCCCGCAGACCCTGCTAGGGGGTCCTAAGCTCAAGCTTGGCTTCTCTGCACCAGCCTATGTCTACATCAACCAACTCACACTCTTTCTCCTGCCATGGCTCCTGGGAGGTTTGTTCACCATTGTGGTGGAGCTAGATGTCCTACAGGCCTACATCGCTTACTACGTCTACGGGGCATGCATGGTGATGTACGTCCTTGCAGCACAACTGATAAGTCTGATCATCCAGCGTAGGGCGGACACAGTGGCAGCTTTTCAGGCCACGAACGTCCTTGCAGAGGAAGATGAAGTCGAATTTGACTCCTGCTGTGGCTACGAGACTTTCCAATACGTTGTGCCCTTGAAGCGCTGGAAGATCAACATACTCCTGCATGGGTTGGTATCAGGGTTAATGGGTGGACTTGGATTCTGGTATCTCCTGCCTTCAGTTCTGAATCCCCTCTTCAATAATATCGGAGCCACTGTCATGATTTACACGTTTGGATGGTTAACACTTTGTATAGCACAGTATCCTCTAAGCACAGGATCACCTCCAGAACCTGCATCCTTCAGAGCTATAGATAATCTAGAATTGCTGCCCTTGTTGAGACCCTGCTATGTCCTCATCTGCCTTTTGGTTCATCTTGCTTGGACGTAAGTTTTTTTTGTTGAATTTATCTAATAAATGTAGAGCATTAAAATGTTAACTCCCACATGAAAAGAAATGATATTTCAGTATTCAAAATGACCAGCAATGTGTGTGAGATGCAAGTTGACCAGCAATGTGTGTGAGATGCAAGTTGAGCATTTTTCTGTTATGTTTGCTTTGATCATGCTGTTTTAAGGCATTGACAAGTCTGTAAGGATAGTAATGCTCTTCTAGCTACCAATGTACAAAATAGATCCAGTGCCAGAGAAAGCTATGAACATACACATTTTATCTGCAGGAAAAGACACAGGCAATGAAATATGTATTTGGATTTTTTTTTTGTATGTATTTTTTTTTTATTTTCCTCTATATAATTTTGTTCATCTCATCTTCTTTTCATTGATTATTTGTAGCTTCAGCCCATCCTCACTCCTCTTGACCAACCAAATTCTGCATGTAGTCTTCATCTTTCTGCCTGTCCTGTGGTGTCTGGGTATCCTGCCTCCTCTTGATGCTCTGGTCCTGTGGCTCATGGAACAAACCCTGGTCCATTTCCTAGGAGGATCACCCATGGCTGGAGACCTCAGGTAAAGATATTAGACAGTTCAGAATCTGCTGTACATGTGTGCTAAGCTGGACAAAGCAGGATAGCATCGAATGGACCACCAGTGGGTTGTAGATTTAACAATGCTTGATTGTATACATGTAGTTGGATTATCTTGCTTTGATAGCCTGAAAGCATGATAAAATTATTTTGTTCCAGTAGGTTCTGCTCTGGGGTCTTGTCTCTGACTTAAAATAACATCTTTCATATTTGTAGGCTTATTACAGATGTACAGATTTTCGGCTGATTTTGTTGTGGTTATTTTTATCATCTTCCAGGTCCTTCCTCATGTTCGTGACCTCTGTCATCATTGCTGTAATCGCCTACTTCCTCCCAACTTCCCTGGCTATCATTGTATTCTCAGCATGCTTCGGCTACATCCTATCCCTCGACCTCAGCATCCTGGCTAATCAGGTAATAGCTTTCATCAAGCAATGTGTCAAGAAACCAACCAATCACAGCCCATCACACAAGAAGAAATCTAGTCCCGATCCAGCTGCAGATGAAACTGACGACAAGTTGAAAGCTATGGGATTGGGATGGATGTTTGGATGGCGAGAACTCCTCATCAATACATGCATGGTGTTGGTTGTTGGAGCTATTTCAGGAGTCTGCACACACTTTAGCTCCTCTGCACCTTCATCAGTTGTCAGAGGTCTTGGCTATGCTATCATAGGGTTGATGGTGATTGTGAAGATCTTGGGCGAATGCCAGAAAGTTTTTGTCTTTTGGGGATTGCTCAGAAACAAACTTTACCCAGACTCTATCAGCAGCACACAGAAATACAGCAAGAGGAAAAGGCAGCTTCACAGACTTGGTTTTATAAAGAGATTCTTACTTGATTTAGGTAAGCTATCTAGGCAAAATGATTTTGATAATGATTTAACATTGATGTTCTATATTCATCAACATGTTAATATTTTTTATAATCATCTAGTGGTATAGAATTTAGAAAGATAAAATGTATCACGATTTGATCTGGTGAAAAAACATTTATCTTTGATCAAGGTAAACTGCTCAGTAGAATGAATTAGGTCTGAAAAATTATTAATGTGTTTGTTTTTGGGGGGTTTTGGGTTTTGTTTTTTTTTGTTTTTTTTTGTTTGTTTTTTTTTTTTTGTTTTACTTCTCTTTGAAAAAAGAAAATGAGCATATGTATTGACCTCAGGCATTTGATTATGTTAGTACTGAATTTGATTATTCCTGTAATTTCAGAGGATGGACCTTGATATTCAAATGACTGTATGACAATTATTTATTTATATTTAAATAAATGTATTTTAAAATCTTTCATACAGTTTGCCCTTTTGTCATGGAAGCATACCTGGGACTGATAGTGGCCTATGCTGGGCTTACATTGCCATCTTTCTGGTTTGCAGTGGGAGCCGTCTACTCCTTTCGCAGGGTAAGTAATTCCTCTTTGCTTTGCAATTGCATAGCCATAAACAGGTCAGTTGTCGCTCTCTAAGATCAAGTACCAACTCATAATATTCGGATATGCTTTTTGTTAAGCGAAAACAACTGCACTCATAAGTTCACAATTCTCTGAACAAATATGTTTGTAAACTATATATGATCCCCATTTTATGATGTTAGCTACATAAATATCAAACTTTCTCTATAATAAACTCACAAAAATAGTAAACCAGGAAATATTATACCATCAACATATAACTATATATAATATAGCCATATATACCAATACTTTGGGATGAAGTCTCAGTTTATCATGTCAATTCAAATTAGAATATTAATGTTAGAAAAACATGTTGCAATGCAATTTTTTTTTTTTAAATCAATAAGAAGGAGCAGAAATTCTATGCTTTATCTTTTATCCTATTTTCAAATAGAAATTATGAACTCGAAACAAAATAGATTCTGCTTTCTGTTTACAGATATGGCAGCATACAAGCAGCTCTTTACTAGATGTGTCCATCCTCCATATTCTGCTTGAGCTGAGTGTGTATGGCTCAACAACATATGTTTCCTGGTGGCCCACCGACTATGGTCTCCAGCTGATCTTCATAGGTCTCTTACACTCCTGGATCAGTCAGAGCCTGCACAAGGTCTACTGCTACCTGACCATCCTCATCACATCCTATACCATCGAGAAGCAACGAAGGAAGTCATCCCTCCCACTCATCATCATCTCAATCCTCCTCTTCCCAATCGTCATAGCAACCATCATGGCATCCAGTATGCTGTCAGCCCCTATATTGCCTCTTTTCACTCTGCCAATCATGCTCATCGGGTTCCCACGACCCCTCAGGTTATGGCCTGGAGCAGTTGGTGCAGCGGCCAATGTCTGTGCAGACACTGTGTACTACAAGCAGCTGGAAAAAAGCCTGAGAGGAGTAATTAGGAGAGCGGTGGCTGCAGGGAGCTTGGGTAGGTTTCTTGAAGTTACTATGTTGCCTTGAGGGCTTTATGGAAAGAAAACCATTTCATGTATATCAGATAACTTGAGGTTTACTCATATGAAGCATTACCGGTATTCTATTTAGTAGTACTGTAAGCAGTACATTTGGCAAGATGAATGAAGCCACCCTCTATCAATTTCTGACAGTTTTATGTTTTTCATTGCTTTCAGGTGAGCTCCGTCCAGGATCATTCCTTCTACTTCGATTCCAGGATCGCATGGCATGGCTCCAGGTCCTAGAGTGTGGCTATGGCTTTATTACAATCAGCCTGAAGGGAATGGAACTGCAAGAAACCTCCTGCCACACTGTGGAGGCAGCTCGGCTGGACGACATCTTTGAGGCAGCCTTCACTCATCCAAAGGAGAAGTTCCCAGTTTGTTCCCTCAACCAGTTCCCTATGCACACCTTGACTCCGGTGGATGCTCAGCCAGTAGACACTTACTCGGATGCCAGAAACGTTTTGACCGGCATCATAGATTCCCCGGATACTTTAGAGTTGGTTGATTCTTGTTTCATCAAGACACTTGTGTGGCTTTTGATGAGACACAATTGTGCCAAAAGAAAAGACCTGCCCACTCCTTCATCAACCAATTCAGGATCAAACATTGGTAATTTCAAGGAAAGTGGGAGTGTGAGCAGTAGAACGAGACTTGTACAAACGAAGAGGGTTGTCAGTGTCAGTGAAGACAGTGGACGAGCTGAGTCGATAGAGTCCAAACCTATGAGTAGTCAGGTCAAGAAGCAACAGCAGCCTAAGAGAAAGTCTTTGGTAGGTTCTTGGCATAGCCTAGACAGCTGGGATGATGATCCTCTAGAGCTAGACGTAATGAACAGCAAACCCAAGTTGAATTCCAGTGCAAAGAAGAATGAAGGCCAGGTACTCAAAGAACCTGCTGGCCTTCCAGGTGCAATCTCAGATATTTCTGATGATGAAGTAGATGATATTTTGAATGAATTTGAATTTGGTTTACCCGCAGTGGACATCCATGCTCCTAAGAAGACGGCAGCTGCAACAAAGAATATTCCATTCACCCAAAGAACCATCAATCTAAACGCCTCTGCCCAGTTTTCATCTCCTCACTCGTCAAAGTTAAGCTTACCCCTCAAATGGCGGGAGATCCCCATAGACCAGAATCTCCTCGCCCCTCTCCTGCAGAAGTTCCCTCTGGACTGGTACAAGCATGTCATCGCTCAACTTGGTATTGAGTCCAGCAAGTCCCCAGAGGACATTGCAGCCGAGATAGGCTCGGATGAAGCCCTGACTACCATGTATGCCAACCTGGTCATGGCGTGCTATGGCATTGTCAACGTCTTTGGACTAGACGGTATGTCTGCTGTAGGAGCTGGAGCTAGTCATGTCTACAAGGTGTATTCAGGCGATATCCCATGGTCCATGAACCAGGAATGGCTGACATCAGATGAGGAGCTCCACGTTATTGTGTTGCAGGCCTACAGGTGAGAAATGTTGGAATAAAGATGCTTTGACCTAGCTATGACCTTATGCCTGCTATTAGTGCTTGCCAATCTTATTTTAGTTTGCATACCAAACCAATGTGAGCTCCAGAACAAGATGTGCGCACAACTTATCAGATAACGGCAGACATTTTTGTTAATGAAGGTCACATGGTCTAAAAGACATCACTTCATAATTTAAAAAGAAAAGAAGATATTTCTGTAAAAAGGATTTTCATTGTTTTTGATGCTGGGATCTTATAAACTTCTATTTGAGTTATATGGTAATTATATAGGAAATCTCTGAATATGCAGTGTATGTATGATAAGAACTGGCAGAATGGTTTGAACAAAGTTTTTCTTAAACTTTCAAAATGTTTTAGCTTTGATAGCGAAAGTGCAACGTGTTGCTGTAAATAGATGACCCATTCGACTGACTTATGTTGGATAATTGTAGTATTATATAATGGTAGAAACTTTGTATTCAAATCCTTGTCTATCTGGTGCACATCAACATATCTCCTCCTTTTTATACTCACTTCAGGTTTGCTTTCAAGCTCGCATACGACCAGACCGTACTTGGTGAGGCATCGGACCTGGATGAGATAGTAGAATACCTTCAGGAGTACGAGAGTGATTGGTACATGGGAAGGGATACTGATGTAGCATGGTCTGAAGCAGTCGAGAGCAATAAACCAAGACTCTTCTCGCTCATCTATGATACCAACGAAGTAAGTGTTGTTAATTTGTCTCTGTTAATCTTTCTTTGTTCGTTTTTCTTTGTCTTTACTGTAATGTAAAAAATGTTGAAATAAAAAAGGATGTTAACAAACATTACCGAAATATCAAACTATTTTCCATACTCAAGATTAAGAACTCACTGGGGATGATATTGATTAAAAAAGAATACTTTAAATTTCTGAATCAGTATTAAATTAAGTGATAAATATAGTCATTCACAAAATGAGTGGATTTCTTCAAGCTACTTATGGTCCCGCTGTAGCATTTGCTATTGAGCAGGAAAGTTACAGGGCAGTTATTATTATGAATTCTTTATGATTACCAACTTTGAGCAAATCCTTCAAAATGCCTTTGTTATCAGACCTCATGAAATCTCAGGTGTTGATCATATTATATTCCACCCTACTGACCCAAGTAAAACTAAGTTTAACAGCCAACTAAACATTTATTTTTCATATAACATCCTTGTCCATTGCAGAACACCTACAATGGACGCGTCCTCTCCAGGCAACCTGTGGTGGTACACATTGGACAGCTCAACTCTGAGATGGTTCGCTCCCTGTGGTCCTCGCTCTCCCTAGAACTCTTCTACTTCACCAACGATGATGAGGAGAGATACAGCATCCAGGCTCATCCAGTTATTCTCAGAAACTTGACAGTCCAGGCAGCTGATCCTCCCCTGGGCTATCCGATCTATGCCTCCAAGCCTATCTCTATTCCTACGTGGTAGGTCCTTCAGAACCTTCTAGGGTTCTTCTACTTCCCCAACTATGATGAGGAGAGATACAGCATCCAGGCTCAACTAGTTATTCTCAGAAACCTGACAGTCCAGGCACTGAGGTGATCCTCCAAGCCTATCTCTATTCCTACGTAGATCTTCTTCTTTTTCTCCTTCAAGATTATCTGCCTCCTTCACTACTGAAGATTCTTGCAGATGTGTGAGAGTGCATGTGTGTGGCAACATAGTGATGCCCAGGTGTGCAGGTGAAAGGTTTATACAATGTGCCAGGGTTCCTCTCCTACACCATTAATTATGAGGAGAGAATTAGCATCCAGGCTCACCCTGTAACCGTTAGGAACCTCAAGCTAGGTCCAGCATGTGATTCATCTCTGAGCCTTCCAATCTATGCCTCCAAGCCTTTCTCTATTCCTATGTGGTAGGCCCTCTTCAGAATGTTTGAGGGTTCCTCTACTTCACCAACAATGATGAGGAGAGAATTAGCATCCAGACTCACCCTGTGACCCTTAGGAATTACCTCAAGGTCCAGCATGTGATCCATCTCTGGGCCTTCCTATCTATGCCTCCAGCCTCCTCTCCATTCCTTTCAAGGCCTTCTTGGTTTTATCTACTTCACAATTTCATGAGGAGAGAGATAGCATCCAGACTCAATCTTAATATTCTGCTTGAAGCTCACAGTCCAGACTGCTGATCAACATTACGATCTTCCCTGTAATTCCCTTCTAACCTCTCTCCCTCTCTCTTTTTACATTTCTTATTCTGCTAGATTATTCCTCCCCCCCCCCCAACCAATAAATGAATTTCTTATTTATGCGGAACCCAATTTTTGTCCTAAGCATCATCGTTGGAAGATCACTTTTGAGGGGTACTTTATAAACTTCTTTAATAGCTAACCAAAAAAAGAAAGATGGAATCTTCAAAGGGTTCATGGAATTAATCAAATGGAAAACATTCACAGTACTCTGTCTTTGATCTTCTATGTAAAATATTGAAACTTTTAATGGAATTCAATGTCAAAATGTAGGTTACCTTTTTCTGTGATTAGGCCTTCCTGGTAAAATAAATAATTTTTTCAATTATCATGTGATAACTATTATTTCTTTGCAGCATCTCAGTTATGATAATCATGTATTTTGTACTTATGTAATATATATTGCTTCATAAAAATTTACATAAACTTACATTCAAATCTGAACGTATATATTTATATTTTAATTATCAAGAATTTTTTGTGCATACTTTGCAATTGATTCTGTTCATAAAAGAATGATTTTTTAGAGAAAAGAAGAAAATAAACATGTATATTAAACATATTGATATTACTGGGAAGGGGGTTCTTTGTGGTACACTTAATGTATTACTGGTTTATGTTTGAGGCTATGAGGAGATTAAGTTTCTGAAGTGACAGAAAGATTGTCCCAATCTTAAAGGTATTACAAAGTTTTGGTATAGGGTCATGAATTTGGTTCAAATTAACATATTGGACCCAATTTTCAAAATTCCCCAAAACTTTGTATTACCTTTAATGGACAAGCTTCTGTTTCTGGGCATTCCTGTGTCATACATACTACAGTAGTATAAAGTTGGTATCCTACGAATCATGGTAGATGTATGTATAGCTATGGAGCCCTCAAATTATATTTTCTGTTTCTTAAATGCCCACAAGCTTAGATGCTTTTGGGACTCGTTTAATTAGCTCTCGCAAAAAATTGCCCTTAGCCTATGCATGTTTGTAGAGTTGTAATTTATGCAGTAGTGAACAAAATAACAAGAAATACATTGTTCAAGAACTCTACCTAATGACTAATGAAAGTCTGTGCTGGTGTGTGCAAAAGGTAGTGCAATCACATTGCCACAAACCATAACCTTGATAACATTTAGTATTACTATACATGAAATGTGTACATTATAATGGCAATTATGGTCTATATCTAGCCTGACATATGTTTAAATTCAACAGGCCAAAAATATAAGCCATATGGTATGGATCACTTGTAATTCTTTTATTTTTCATTAATATATTATTTTGTCATTTTTGTTGCTGTTTGTTTCTCCTGGTCTTTTTGGCCTCTGCTGTAAATTGTATATTTTGATTTTCATTTCTTTGTCCATTCCGTCCTAAAGTATTTAACTTTATTCAGATTCTAATTTTTTCCAAAAAAAATGGACTAAAGTAGGATATGATGAAACATATGATATTCATAATCATGTGGCTACTTATACTTGCATTATTCAGTCCCCATCACAACTCTATGTGTGAACCCGAGGCCCAAAACTCTTGTCCTTTTCATACTACACAAGCTGTGTGGAAAAAAAAAAGAATCATCGCTTCAAGGAGCAATTTTGTAGTTACTTTATACTGGTAGACTTGGTTTTTATGTTTCTCTTCGTCTACATATAGGTGTAGTGAAACAGAGTGTACCTCAGCAAAAAATTGTACAGCTTATGTTAAAATGATCGGCAGAAGAATTGGATAGAAGACTATTATTTGTCAATGAAAAAAAAAGAAGATATATATTCTTTGGTGTGTGAATGTGTATACATGTATCTTTGTGCATGTAGCCTTTTGATGTAAAGTTGTTACATGTACTTACCGGTACTTTATTTTTGACTCAATATCTGTTGTTTGTATATGAAGAATGTAAATAGAAAAAAACTATCATCTCATATATAAATCACTTATCACCTTGATATTCATGGACAAAAATTAGAGAAAACTATCAAAGATATTTGTATGTGTGAATTTTCATTAAAAATGTCCTATCAGAAGTCAACACTGTCTTTGAGTTGTGATGTAATTCAAGAACTTTACCTTTAATTGATTCTTTTGTTAATATTATGATTAGCATCAGTTATGGCTTGACCAACAGTGCCTTGAAGGCTTATGCAAAGACAAAAGTTCCTCAGCAAAGGAATTTCAACTTATTTTCTAGTGTCATCAGGAAAAAGACTAGAACACATAACTCCTCTAATGAGCTTTCACAAGTTCCAAGAACTTTTGATCATACAGGGACTACAATAACAACACTCGCTACTCCTTTTATTTGGTATGATCAACACAAATTAATTTATTGATGTGGGAACTAGAAACCATTATTTTAAAATCTCGGCGATGAGCTGATTGTCATTGCGTTCCGAACATATAAATATACCAATGTCAATGAATACAAGGACATAACACTCCATAAATTTCAGATTTCAGTCAATGGCACAATACTTACATATACAAACAAAATAATGACTGTAATTACACTTTATACAGAATAAAATCACAAGAACTTCAAGGTAATGCCACATAACATTTATGATTTTCATAATCATGACAAACTGATTTAAGAAAAAAAATTGAACATTGCTCATTATTATGTTTTAAAGATTAAAAATGCATGATATGCCTTCATCAATTGTGAAATTGTTGGTGATTCCTATTGTTACATCACAATCAAAGGGTAATTATTGCAGATAAATTCAAGAAAGCTAAAATCCATCGCAGAGATAAACAATCACAAGGTGATTGACGTGGTTATGTTGAACAAGATATAATAGCGTTCTGAACTTTTACTACCAGCTTGTAAAAAAGGATTTACTGATTGAATAGTGATGGTTTGCGTAGTGAATAACCAGTATCAAAAGACGGTCGTCATGAACAAAAAAAATAATTTACAATTGACATACAGATCAAATTAAGAGAATAAAATAACAAAATCAATAAATTCTGCATCAAAGCATAAAGTATAGAATCTGCACTGTAAAATGGGAGCATAGCATTGTAATCATCATGAGCATCCCTGGACAGTGTGTGCGCTCTATAAGTGTACACTATTATTATTATTAATATTATTATCAATTAATTCAAAGAATAATGAAGCTTCTACAGATAAGCTTTAAAGTAATTTGGGAGCAGTGTTGAGCATATTAAATTGATACCAGTTTGCTGGTCACCAGTTATACTTCAGTGATCAATGGTTCAATTTATCTTTGGTAAGGGTGATATACAAGCATTGTAATCATCATGAGCGTCCCTGGACAGTGTGTGCGCTCTATAAGTGTACACTATTATTATTATTAATATTATTATCAATTAATTCAAAGAGTAATGAAGCTTCTACAGATAAGCTTTAAAGTAATTTGGGAGCAGTGTTGAGCATATTAAATTGATACCAGTTTGCTGGTCACCAGTTATACTTCAGTGATCAATGGTTCAATTTATCTTTGGTAAGGGTGATATACAAGCATTGTAATCATCATGAGCGTCCCTGGACAGTGTGTGCGCTCTATAAGTGTACACTATTATTATTATTAATATTATTATCAATTAATTCAAAGAGTAATGAAGCTTCTACAGATAAGCTTTAAAGTAATTTGGGAGCAGTGTTGAGCATATTAAATTGATAACAGTTTGCTGGTCACCAGTTATACTTCAGTGATCAATGGTTCAATTTATCTTTGGTAAGGGTGATATACAACTACAAGGCAAAATAGTTTCCGGCCAACCGTCATCAGGGCATAGAACTATACACAAAATGAAGCCCTAAATGTCTATGTGTTTGTGTCATTTGTGTTATTTGAAGGAAAAAATAAGAGGTAAAATTGGGAATTTCTTCATTACTGCATGACAAGGAATCTATACTCTTACACTACTCTCTCAACATTCATCACCAACATTAACAGAGCATGAAAACATAAAATAATATACCACTTTTGTCCTTTACCGGTATATCGAATTGCATTTTGCTGCTTCATATATTCCAACACATTACAATTCAAGTGACATTTTCCTTTCATAATATCACTATAAAAGGTTGCTTTGCATATCGAAGTGCATTTTGCTGCTTCATATATTCCAACACATTACAATTCAAGTGACATTTTCCTTTCATAATATAACTATAAAAGGTTGCTTTGCAAAACTTAGTGGCACAAAAATGGTTACCGGTAATTGTCTCGGGGAGAAAAGTATTAATCCTGATGACGCTTTCCTGAGTAAGCATGGCATATTGTTATTATCATTATCATAATTAATATTATTATCATCATCATCATTATTATTGCATTACAATCTAATACTGTATGCTTGAGATAATACTCAATTTTAAAGAGCCCAAGGTACAACATCCATTGAGTTTCCA